TATGCAATTTATTCACTAACAACTTCCATGGTTTTTATGAGACTATTCACCTTCCTGGTTAATAGAAAATCTGTACTTGCCATGGCAACCCCTGTATCAGATGGCTCTACAGCAATACCCTGGAAATATACCATAGATTTTTTCAGTCTTCATAATCGATCTGGTCATAAATGTCACAGTAACTTGTCATTAAACTCTCCCCTCTAGCAACTCTGATAGTTGTTTGATCCCTCCTGCCTCTCTGCCACACCGTTCCCTGTGCACAGCTGCATTGTTTTGCATGCAGCCTTTTCCCAAAGTTGTTCCTTGCCTGGGGTGTCAATCTTCAGTGATCCAGGACTGGGGAGATGATGGCAACAGGGAGATTCACACACCCCTGCTGGTTAGAGCAGTGATCACCTCTAGACTACTCTGATAACCAGGTGCAAGCCAGCAAGGGGAAAATAAAAATAAAAATAAAAATAAAAATGGGAAAATCTTGCCGTTTAATAGCAGCCTAAATTATTTGTCTGTGTTTCTCATGTGACTCCTTGAGTTTCATGTCAGGTTCACCAGCTGATGCTGGAGATGCTGCCTTGGGGAATGAGACAGACCTGACCCACACCAACAGTGTTTGAAAGGAATGCCCTGTGCAAAGCGAATTGAGGAGATGGGGTGGAATTCAAATTTCATCAGCTCCTGACTGTCATGAGACTCCCAGGGCATTGCAGGCCTAATTCTTGCTGCCTTGCACTTTGCATTGCAATCGGAAATGCGAGTGTAAAATGCTATCACATCAAAATTAGCAATGCATTGACATCGACTGCAGAGAGGGAAAAATGCCAACAGAAGGGCAAATGTTGGAACCTCAGAACTAGGCATGTATTTTGAATAATTTTTTTTTTGTAATCTGGAAATACAACCAGATAGAAAATCTGATACCAGATAGAGGTGACATTTTGATCAGGGTGAAAGTTAAAGTCAGTATATAAAAGGGGAAAAATATTTTAAATTATCTGAATGAACTAGGAGGTAAATGAAAATTTTATGCAATTCATTTAGGAAAAAAATTAGGTAGTGGTACTGCAGAAAACTGCACAAAACTGGAATATATTCTTTATAAGAGCACACACTGCAAAACACTGCACAGGAAAATTAGGAGCTTGTGGTGGGTCACACTCTAAAAGCTTCTGAAATGTATTATACTGCAACCCTCCAAAAGCTGTGTAGCAGAAGTAGAACAGATTTCATCTGCATATCTGGGAGTGCTGATTAATGTCCAGACTGCTAGAAATATATAAGTATTAGCAAATCCTTAATCCAAATGTTAGACTCCCCTCATCTGATTCTTTCTCACATTGTTTAAAGACACAGCAGTGCTGTGTTATCAATTGCAGCACAGATGTTCTGGAGCCGAGCCAGAGGAATTCAGGAGGGAATCAGATCCATTGTGTGCCCAGTGCTCTCTCTATGGACAACTCATTATACTTACATTAACTAAGAGAAAGACTACTAAATATGCAAAATTTTAAATTTCCTTTACTATATTTAGACCAGTTGTAGTGAATCTGTCCAAGATTCACAGTATTTAGAAGAAAGACACTTTTCAATGACAGAAAATAAAAAAGTTCCCAGCTGGAGAGCCTTGACTTTGTTTGAATCTTATAATTTAAGGAATAATTTTCTAAAATTACCTCTTGTACAGTAAAATGACAATGATTAGGCTTGCTATGTTACAGTCTCCTGCTGTGCAAAACATTTACTCAGTGGGCTCAGGATACAAAAGTAGCTGCTTTACAAATAATAACACAGCTTAACTATCATTTAATAGCTTCAAAAACATCATACTAGTTACAAACCCTTTGGAACAAGGACAACTAATTTCAGCATCTCAGTTGTTGTCATGATTAATCAATTTCTAATGCTGGTGGCTGTTTTGGTTTGTTTCTTTGTTTTTAATTGCTGGAAATTTTTAATTCCTGGTTCAAACAACTTAATTTCACAGTTTTTTAGATTAATCAGTGATCACTGGAGGGGGAAAAAATTATTGAAGTTCATCAGAATGTAGCATGGAGAATCAATGTAATTTTGCAGAAAAGCATTTTGATTCTACCTTCCTGAGCAACGTGGCTTTAAACTCTCACACCTGAGTGCAATATTGGGAGGATTGTCTGGCTTTGTGACTTTCAGGGATTCTGTGCTCAATTTACAGAGCTGATCTTCACTGCCAGAACTGAGGCTGTGTCAGCTCCAGGGCTGGTGTGCTTAAAGGGTGGGAAAATAACTCTCACCATAGCAAAAGTCATCTCCCAGCTCTGAGGTTTCATTTACACTCCAGGGAAATCTGCCTTCCCATCTCCTCTGACTGCCTTGCGCACTAATGTCTCCTTTTGGAAATATTAAAGTACACAGACATCATTTTGGTGAAGAAATTCTGAGAAAAGTGATAGCAGGAATTCAAACCCAACGTGAGAGTGTGAGCTACTTCTCCAATAAAATAAATCTGTGAGGAGATTCTGTTCTCTGTCTTCTGCCTAGAATTTCTGCTTGTTCATACATTCAGAATATCTTGATGGTCGCTCTGAGACCGTGGATGTGGTGAGAGGTGCAGCCAGAGGGGTGTGTGGTACCCAGCCTGGCAGGGTGCAGGAGAGCCCCACCCCAGAACTGCCCTCACCAGCACACCCCGGCTGCTCAGATTGATGAGAGCTTTAAAACCTTCATAAATAAAAACTTCAGCCTTCAATAAGTCAGAAAGACAGAGCAATGGGGTTTCTTTCACCCCTATTTGAATGCAAATCAAGTGTTTGACCCAATAAATAATTGTGATTTCCTATTTCCTGCACTCTGAAGGATCCAGTGCTTCCTACCCCATTAAACGAGATTGTGTTTAGGGAACCTCTATCCAACAACTAGGAAAGGGGATTTATCAGGGTCATTCTGTCATCTCCTCAGCATTTTTTCAGCCATGGCATTTTACCACTGCCTTTTTGTTTTACAGTCTTCCTAAGTAAAGAAGAAAATCAGAGATATTTTCTTGTGGTTTTAGAATGGCACTATTTTAAATTTATATATAAATACAATCTTACCTGGGCTTATTTGCAGGACCAGCTCTGAATTCAAGGTCCATCCAGACATTATTTGAACACCCAACAATAAATCCCTGATTCTAAGCTTCTATGTATCTGCAGGGCCTTTACATTATCTGTAATCCAACCAGCAATAAAAATAATCATAAATCACTTCTGTGAACACAAAAGTACTGAGAACATTTGTAAAGGCCAAAAACTCTCAGATTGAATTTCATACTAAAGCCTTCCCTCACAGGTAGGGCATCCCTACTCCTATAATTAAAAGTGCCCACATGTCTCCTCACTCCAGCAGCCTCCCTCAGTCTATCCACCAGCTGCAATCCTCTCTCAGTGTTTTAACACAGTTAAACAAGATTATCTCTATCAAGGCAGTCTTTGTTCACACCTCACCAAATACAGCAGCAGGTTCAGCAAGGCAGTAATCCATATGAGACACTGACTCACTTTATTCTTTGTTAGATAACTTAGCACATAATCCTCAGTGGACCCTTTTCCAAACAAATTTCTGCACTGAAACCTACCCGGGGATACTCAAACTCTTAATTGGAGCATTCCATGAAATAGAGAAAAGCATGAAGGTATTAATGTTTTATTTAGTCTGAAATGAGTTGTTTCAGTTGCAGCTACAGTGACATCAACATCTTTCATTCTTACCTCTCTTTCAATTGCTGTAGACTGGTTCATTTCTGCTGCTCCACTCTGATTTGATATTTATCTGATTAAGGTCAGAATCTGGCCTAATGGGATCTTAGGAAAAGTAAAGCAGCCCTAAATTTACTCCTGACTGGTCTATCTCTCATGCCACTGAAAATATGCCTATCTTTAGTCAATATATTTCATATTTCTGTAACTTTATTTCATCATTTTAGAGATTATCATTGTCGTTCCCAGCAGCTTGTCCCCCAAAATCCTTCAGCTATTTTGACACTATTAAACTGTTAATATCTTGATGAGCTCTTATATCTTATAGTATTGGCTTTAAAAAACATGAGGCAAATGGTCATGCCTTGGTGCTGAGAAAAGCCAAAAAGCATCAAAACACGTGCAAGGAATTAGCTCAGTCATGGAAAATAAAAGCTGCCACCCAGTACTCCAGAATTACCTGTATCCTAAACTAGAAAAATCCAGCATATCCATCCCAGTGAGGAAAAAATAACCAAGAACCAGAGCATCTAAAGAACAAAAGAGAATCCTGCATCTCTAGTTAGTTCCCTGTTCATTGTGAGTTTATATATGCTCAAGGGACTATTTCAGTGTTAAAACATAACTCACAGAAGACACAGGAGATAAAAGAAGCTGAAACATTCTGATGGAGTATTTCTCAAAGGGAAAATTTGTTTTTGAAAGTCTCTTTTTAAGCCTTCTTTAAACCTCTAGGTCCTGTGCATTGTGCTTTTCTGTAATTTTTCCCCAATTTTGATTTTCACTGCTCTTTTTACAGGCTGTGAACTCTCTTGAGCATTTCAGATCTGCCTTCTTCATCTTTTTTAACCTGAGGGCTTTAAAACTCTAGAAAGTAAAAAAATATTAAAAAAATAAGCCTGGAGATAGACAGAAGAACAAAAATGGCCACAGGGTGTCTGGAAGAAGGAGGGAAAATAGATTATTATAGAAGAAAGAGAAAGGGGGCAATTCCAAGAGAAGAGTGCAGTTACCCACTATTTTCATCATTCAGAAGCAAAGTATTTAAGGGCAAAATTCAGATAAAAACCATGACTCTGAAGTTGCTTGGATAGTGAATACATTTATAGTATTTATATTATTAATACATATATAGTATTTATATATATATCTGTTATTGTATCTTTTGTGCCTCTGAACCACAAATAGCCATATAACTCCCAAACAAACAAAAAAATCTGTCATTATCATTCAGATTTTGTTTATGAGAATTTGTTTTTTGAATTCTGCAAGAACAGCCATGATCACCTGGCTGGTTGGGAGACTAAAGTTCCACATCCCTGTGGTTTTGGTGTCTGGGACTCTGGGTCTGGTTTCCCTGGCTCATGCTCCTCTGCTTCAGCTTCAATCCAGAAGCTTTGGCTTTACTCAGATGTTGAATTTTAGCTCTCAACTCCATGGTGAAAAGCTGCAGACCCGGAGATTTTGTTACAAAAAGCAGCACTCTGGAATTGCTGCCTCCATGCTGGGCAGCCAAGAAAAGGCCTTGAGGGTCTGCAGCCCCTTGCCAGTCAAAGATGCTGGATTTGAAGGTTACCCTTTGCTGCAAGGCTCAAGAAATCAAGTTTCACCCTGGAAAAAACAAAGAAAAGGAACAAGGAAATTATGCTGTTTGAGTATTTTCGAAACTGTTTTCTCATGTAGTCTTTTCAAAATACTGTAACTTCTAAAAAAAAGAACTTAAGAGTTTTCAGGAACTTTAGTTAAAATTGACTAAAATTTAAAAGGCCTAAGGTTCAAAAACTCATTTGTTACTCAGCCATCAACTCCCCCTGCTCCTCAGCAATCAGTTTCACTGCAGGTTACTGATACACTGCCTTGATTAAGCTAATGATGAAATGAAGATGGTTTCTTTTTTTGCCTCTATGCTCAACTGTAGAAGGAACACGTGATAGCTGTAAATTATTTATTATTTGGAGGTGAGGGGATGGCAATCAGTAACTGCACAGTTTGTGCAGATTATTCTCCTCTAAGGTCTAATGTGAGCACTATTTGATTATTTGACAGATCATTTCAAATGTGACTGTGAAAAAACGAGGCAAGACTCAATGTGGTTCAAACAGCTTGTAAGCTCTACCAAATTAGCTTTAGGACCACAGCATTAGAAAACTAACATAGGAGTAAGGCAGATTTCCAAATATGAGTATCAGTAGTAATAACCAACAGTTTCAGAGATATTCTCTTCTTGCAAACAGACAAATGACAAAAAGGCATGCACAGAGCAGGAATATTATGGTAGACACTGCAGAAAGCTGATCTCTTTTATAACTTTTATCTCTTTTATAAATCTTGGGCCATCAGCAAATACCAGAAAAGCAGAAGTTTTTTGCACAGCTCACACCCTGATGCACCAATGTCACTGCTCATCCTGTGCCCCTTGCTTTACCACATTGGGTGTTTGGGCAGCCCCTGACACTGGGGCTTTTAAACATGGAAAAACTACTCCTCTTAATCTTAGGGTGAGTTTACTTCTGAGAAATCAGACATAACCAATTTTAAGTCCCAAGTTTTCCAGTGAACAACAGATAATGGAAAATTCTGGACTGCTTCTACTAAGAGCTTGTGTAACTCAGTGGCACACTTCCATATATTCATAAATAATGACTGACAGCATCTAACAAACACAAGAGGAAAAAGGACATGTGAGTCACAAGAAAACCCAAGTTTTCAAATTCTGCCAAAAATGCCTATAATGGAACCTCCTTTTTACCCAATTACTTCACTATTTTAAATTATATAATATATATAAACATATATATAATTATATTTGCATATTAGTATATAAAATTTATATATAATATATAGCATATATTATATATAATATGAATATATAATAGTAATTATAAATATAATTATATATTTTAATTATTAGAATAATGATTCAGTTATTATATAATTTGGGTATTATATTGTTATTAATATGAATAATATTATTCGTAAATTATTAGCAATATCATTATAATATATATATATAAATACAATATATAATATTAGTATATATAATTATATCTGTATATTAGTATCATTATATTTGTTCATTATTTTTGCTCTGCACAGTACTAGTAAAAGAAAACCTAGTTTGCTTATTTGGAAGAATAGCTTAAAAATTGAGTTGCCTACAGTAGTTAGATCTAGAGGTCTTTCAGGCAACATATTAATTGGATTCTCTGAAAACAGTGAGATTTTTCACAAATAATGGGAATCTGAATGAATTTCTGTGTTATAAATCAAAATATTCCCAGTCATTGTGTCAAATATAAGCCCACTAGGGTTGTAATTCCAGAATATGCTCACAAGAATCCATAAAGAAATAAATAAACCTGGTAAAAAAAAAATTGACTAATTCATTTCCAGTGGGAAAAAAATGTTCTAGCACACATGCACGATTTAGTCACCAAGAACACTGATTTTTAAAGAATGTCAGGAGAATGAAGAAAGACACATATTTCCATTATTATAATTTCTAAATGGAATATCCTTAGTTTTAAGTCTGATTTACTTTTTTAAATGTTAATAAATTTATCCCTGAAAAAATTTCAGTATTACCTAGCACAAGAGTTTGCAAAAAGTTAACATTTTCATGAGAATTTCCGACTGAAATAGCTGAATATCACAGAAGCAAACAGAACTGTAATTTTTTGCAACAAATCACTTCAAGACAAATTTTGAAAAGATTTCAGTCTGAAAACATAGAGGAGATTAAATGAGCAGGTGAAGGGCAGCAAGTACCATTGAGCTGCCTCCTCCTGAAACACAGGGCAGGAGCATGAGACTAAAAAAAAAGAGGTTTTCAGGAGCTTCTCCTCCCATAGCTGCTGGAAGCGATGCCCTGCAGAAGAACAGAAAGACTCACATGTCCTGCGTCTTCCTGACCCACTTTTTTTTGAGATGATGCCAATTTTTCAGGGTAAAATAATGGGGGATGAGGGAAAGGGAAGGAAAACAAGCCCTTCTACATCAATGCAAGGCTTTCAGGGAGATGTAGCATGAATATTTCATGCTCACAGTCTCATCTATATGCTCAGCTTCCCAGCTGACACTATGGTTTCCATGATGTCCTTATAAAAATGGAAATGAAGAGCACAAATATAAAACCTCGTCGACTTACTTGGTGCAAGTGCTGCAAAAGGAAACCTACTTGTGAATTAGGTTTACAAAAAGAAATGAAGATGAAGAATTTCAGCAGCATTTAGGATAAAAAAGGCCAATCTAGCAGTGTGTTTAGTTTGGGATGAAAACTGAGAGTTTTAGAGGTTTGGCTTAAAACAAAACCCAAACAAACCAGCAAAGCTTCATGAAAAATTGCAGACAAACAAGACCTTCAGTTCAACATTTCTGAAAAAGAGACTGTCTTTATTGCCACTACATATTTTTCCTGCTCTGTGTAAAGCAGAGTTTGATCTTGGATAACCTGGTCAGAAATGAACTTTGACCTGTTTGACTCAAGCCTTTCTAGTATGTACAAAACCCAATATGTGCCATTTAACCAATAGAAAAATACAACTAGGATACAAATACAAGAAATATTAACCAGCAAACACATCTATGTATTTACTGCAGAGCCCTGACCAAAAATATTAACTCAGATTTAATTAACACATACTAATGCTCGTATCTGTCTCTGATTTTTCACAGGAAGCATTGCAGAATATAATTAATGTTCCAAAAATAGATGCAAGTTCAGAACACCATTATCTTGAAGAATTTAATTGGTCTTACTATTCTATGAAGTACAGCAAAATGCCATTTTTTTTCCAGTAAGTTTAAGAATGAAAGACTCTCTTTCCAAATCTAATTATAGATATTTTAAAGGTGAGTCAAAGCTAAGCAGAGATAACACCTGCATTGGAATAAAATATCCCTATTGGTGTATTCAACTCACAGTAATTATCAAATGAGATGAATTCTCAATAATTGGTTAACAGAATTAAAAAAAAAAAAAGAGAAAAGCTGAATATTCTTATTGTAGACACTGCATTGTAGCAATTTCCCACATCCATCTCAATCTGACCCTGAAATTAGTGGGACAGATGCTTAGAAAAGGGCAAATGGAACAAGAGGATGTCCCCTAACTCTGCCTGCTTTTGTCTCTGCTGTGTCAGGACAGATTTGTGGGTGCTGTGCTCCTTGCCACCTTCTCCTGAGGAAATTATTGCACCCCAGAGTGCCAAGCCGTGGTCGTGCCAAGCCATACCCAACAGTGGAGTGATGATTTATCCACAGCACTATTCTACATCTAGCCAGTGAAATAACATACTACTCTTTTCAAATCCCTCTAAAATGGTATTTTGGCTTCAGTAGTGAAGAAACTATAGCTGCATTAGAATTTTCCACCAGAAATTTTATAACCATTCTTTTCTTCAAAATACTTCAAGCTGCTGGCGTGCTTGTAAAATGGATTGTCCTTGAGAGATGAAAGCGGAAATATAAGCATGGTGTAGTAATAGAAACACAAAGAAAGATTCTATACTTCAAGATACAGGTGCTATTCCTGTAGCACCATACCTGGGCTGTACAAATTTTTCTGACAAATTGGAATATTAGGAAAATCTCTCCTGCAGTTTCATATATAAAATAAAAGTGAGGAGTGGGTGGGTTCCTGATCCTAAAGAGTTCTTCAGGCAAAGGCAGAACAATATTCAGATTTTAAATACATCCATCTTTTATGTTTAGATGTAAAGAACAGATATTTTGTGTGGATAATTGACTATTAAATTGGGCATACAATTGGGCTTCATAATTTGATGCCTTGAAAAATCCTCTTTTCTAGCTCAATTAAAAATTATGCTTGTTGATAAAAGGAAAATTTATCAAATTCTAGTGGCTCACACTGAGCAGGTTGTCACACCAGATTATTTTAGAAGGGGATCTGTCATTTGAGTTTATCAAAACCTCTGTGTCCACAACACAAAGACTGAACACTTCAGTGAAATAGTCTCATAATGCCATATGGATTCTAGAAATCAGCCTTTGCAGTGCTGTGTCTGCTGTCTGACACCAAAAATTCACATTCAGTTGACCTTGGGGTTTCATTTTGTCTAAAGTAGAGTTTGGCTCACTGACATGAGAGGAGACAAGTCCCCATCCTGAAAGGAAAAGCAGAAAAAGCTGTACAGATGTCCTCTTCATGTCCCCACCTCTGCTGAATGTAATTGCGCTGAGACTTTCCAGATAATTTCAGTAGAGTAAAAAGAACAAACTGTCTTTAAAAAAAAAGAAAAAACAAAGAAAAAGCATGGTGAATCCCAACAAAATCCTGAACAAACAAAATATCATCCCATAGGGTATAGCAGGACCTAAGTATCCAAATCTCACCCAAATGAAGGCACAGAGAGCAGAGAGGAAAACTCCAAATTCTTCATTGTAGGGACTGAATAACTAGCACCATGTATTCACAAAGGACAGCTTGTAGTGTCATAGCAGCTTTGAAAATAACTTTGCTTTTAGGAGAAGCATGAAGAAGACTGAGAGGAAAGGGAGAGTGGGCACAGAAGGACCAAAGTATGTACTGTACAAAATCAGAAATCACAAAACTAACCTATAACCAATATGTTGTCTTTAGAAAATTCCAA